AGGAAAAAGAAAGATTTAAAATAGTCCAAGATACTCTGTAAAATCATCAATTATGACTGTTCTCAAGTACTGTGCACTCGAGTTTGCCCTGAATTTCTACTTTAAGTAAACTATGTTTGCAGCGCTCATCAATGTCCAATGATTTAAATTAGTCTGACACACCCAGTCACAGACTGTATAAAAGAAATCCATTTCTTACCAAAACCCTTATCAAATGGCCTTAGCTACGCTGTAAATCCATAGTGCTACCTAGCCTTCAAAGTTCAATAGTAGCACTGTGACAATGATCAGTTGTGTTAGCTTTTATTCTACTCTGTGCAAGCACTTTCTTTTAGAAACTTCGAAACATCTCTTTATGCAACATCAGGAGTACTGGAGCAATCTTTCCCACTGTTTCTGAGCCACAGCAAGCAACTGATGCATTATGTCCTTAATAGCCTGAATTTCTGTCACCAAGCAAGTTAAATGAGCCTAATGCCAAGCTATTCCAGGTAATTTTAAGAACCAGATCATACATTTTTAAGAAGTGAGACTACAATTACTAATCATATTTAAGAAGCAAGTTCTGCCAAGCTCTGTGTAACAAGTCTAGATGAAAGCTTGTAAGGATTGAACTTTGAATGTTTGAAAAAGGAAACTCTGAAGATGTAATGGCTGAAAGTATTTCAGGTCAAGATCTTACCTGTAAGTTATTGTTTTGGTCTTGGTTAACAGCTGCTTGTGGGGGAATATTGTCCTGAGCTGGCCTCCGCCTAAAAGGGAACCATCCAATCTGGTGCCTGAGAAGAACAGGTATTCATATTTATTGGTCTCATTCTTTAAAAAAAATCCTTGTTTTTTTCTGAATTACAGAGGAAGTCAATCAAGTATTGGATAGAATGCGACAGGAAAGCCTCCTACCCCACACCCAGGCAGCATCTCTCACTCAGAATCTCTGGAAACTACACCCAGTCAGCATTCAAAAACTGCACAGGAAACAGCCTTATACTGAATTTAACCCCTGATCCATCTTGCGCTCACTGTAGTCTAATCTGTCTGGAAGCAAAAACAGAGCATAGTCTCTGAGATCCCTGAAACACTGTAACTGCAATGCCAGTGATTCAAGTTGGTGCTATCCACATGCAAGGCTCAACTCTACCACTGAGACACAGCACCTCCTGCTCCAATTGGTTCATCTAACTCTCTGGCATCTAATCAAAGTGGCAGCAGCTTTCCAAGGTCTCATGAAAGACCCTTCTCTGCCTAGCATCTGCCTCCTGTGATAACTGGAACAGTCCAAGCACAAAAGCAAGTGCTTTACCTCTGAGCAACAAAGCCTCCCCCTTCCACCATTGCGTGCCTAAACACATGCTCTACAAGCCCTTCCAATTGGGCCATACAAACTAGCTGAGATTACTATATATTGGCCGCGGGCACACGGGCAGGAAAATGCGCGGGGGGGGGAGCGTGGCTGTTTGCCCCAGGGCAAAATAACGCACGGTTGCGCCAGCAGACGTACCGTGGAGGTCCCGTGGGGGTGCCCCACAAGCAGCGCGGCAAACGGGTGTTTTTTCCCCCGGACACCAAAGTGTGCACATGCCCCGTTGGGTGCTCGTGCGCATCCCACGGACAATTTGAAATAAAAACTTTATACGAGGGGGCATGGGTGGGCGCCGGAACTACCACCGGAAACGCGATCAGACGCCTGCCCTTGCCCCGCGGTTACCGGAAACTAGTACCTCCGGGGTACTAGTTTTTAACCGCGCATCTTCTGCAAGGAAGCCTTGGGTTCGCCACAGGAGCGCTACGCTTCCCAGATGTGGCAGTGAGATCGCACCCGGAAAATCCGCCTATCTTCTGTCTCTCTAGCATACCTAATGCTCCGTGTGACCGCAGCCATTGTGTGGTATCCATCAAGCAGCTTTAAAGTGGAACACCCAAATGAGGCTGCAATGGGACTCAGTAATTTGCGCCAGTTTTCTCTATGCTGGTGAAACTGGTGAAACTGAAGTGACTGTGAAACTAACAATCTGCAAAAGTCGTTTTAATGCACTAAATTCTACTCGTTTAGAGAATGAGAGGGCTACACCAATGTGCCAAGGATGATAAAAACAGGCAAGGACAGCTTAGTAAAAGGTTTTTATTTAATTTTTTTAAAATCTCTGGTTGTGTTGTATGTTAGATTTTAATTTATAACTTTTAAAGTTATGTTTTTATTGTGTTATTTTAAGGTGTGAAAAAAGGCTCCCCAGGAATGTTAATGTAAAAATTTCCTAAACATTAACAGATCCATTTAATAGTTAAATGGCTGTTTTAGAACACAGGCTGCAAGTTGGACATTTTGGATCTGTGAAGTATATTATTGCCACTTCAAAACCTGTGGTGGCTTCTTTCATGTGGTACCAGTAAGTCTTTTCTACAACTCAATTAGAGGATTACATCATTCAGGTGGGCTATTAAAATCAGTTACTAGTCGACACAAGCCCACATAGTATGAAGAAAAAAATATGAGATGTGGCTGCCACTTATGAGAACAAATCCACCCTCCTACATGCCTCAAATGCAGAAAGACTGCTGCCCATACTTACAAGTACATGAGCAGAGTGCCCACCATCACCATGAAGAGCCTGCTCATGCTGGAGTAGAAGTAAACGATGTTGACAAACACATAGAACAGGGTTGCCGAATACAGCCAGTCCAGCCAGTCGCGGTTGCCTTCTTCATCCTCTTCCATCAGAGGACCTCCCTGTGCATTCATTCGCAGATTTTGGTTTACTCCAGGGTTCACCGGAGGGGGGGCATTCTGATTTCCAGGCTGGTTTCCAGCAGGAAATGCACCAGGGAGAGGAGCTGGAGCAGCAACTGGGGCCACTGGGATTTCCTGCATACTTCGTGTAGGGGGCAATTCACTTGAAGCAGCACTGGCAGCCATGCTGGGTAGAAGAGAAAAACAGGTTGCTTACCTGTAACTGATGATTTACGAGTGGTCATCTGTGCATTCACACCCATGGGATCTAGTGCGCACGCGCTGGATCGATCGGCATTGTAGCAAGCTCTTAACGGATTTTCCCGCCCAGACCTCGGCCATGCGCAGGAACCCCACCGCGCATCCCCAGAGGGGTGGACGCAAACATCCCGCCAGTTCCTTCGAACCGCCACGAATCAACCCCTATGGAAAATGTAGAAGCTGACAGCAGCGGGGAAGGAGGGCGGGTGGTGTGAATGCACAGATGACCACTCGAAGATCACCAGTTACAGGTAAGCAACCTGTTAATCTTCGACGTGGTCTCTGTGCTTCACACCCATGGGAGATTAGCAAGCAGTGGCCTACCTGGAGGAGGGTGCTGGCAGGTCCTTACTGCGTAGCCAAAGACAAGATGTGACATCCTATGTTGGTACTAGAGTTCTTTCGGACGTGTAGGGTGTAGTGCCTTATGAAGGTGTTAGGCGTAGCCCACGCAGCGGCTTTGCAAATGTCCATCAGGGGAACTCCCTGGAGGAAGGCAGTAGAAGCTGCAACAGCTCGGGTTGAATGGGCCCT